TTATTTATTTATTTATTTTTCCCCCAAAGCCCCAGTAGACAGTTGTATGTCATAGCTGCACATCCTTCTAGTTGCTGTATGTGGGACGCGGCCTCAGCATGGCCAGAGAAGCGGTGCGTCGGTGCGCACCTGGGATCCAACCCCGGGCCGCCAGCAGCAGAGTGCACACACTTAACCACTAAGCCACGGGGCCGGCCCCCATATTTTTTAACATCTGCATCTGTAATGCAATTTCTGTATTTTTATTATCTAAAATGAACAGAGATCCTCCAAGATTGTGCTCATCTGTATAAACAAACAAAATCTTCAGTTAATTCCACAGAGGGTGAAAAGCGCCTTTGGCTGCTTCATTTTGGAGGTTGCACGCAACTGTCTTTCCCTCCTCACCTTTCTCCTTCTGATTGATTTCACTCTCCCCTGTTTTTCCCCACACGATCTTCTAGAATCAAGATCCAATTCCCTGGAGAATGTTTACCCCCTCCCCCGCTGCCCCCCATCACTTCCCGAGCTAACATCAGACACTGGATCAACCCTAAGAAGGAGTCCATCCACAGCATCCAGGGATCCATAGGTAAGGGTTAAAAGACTGGGTGGGCAGATGGTTGGTGTGAGAGTTTTTCTAAATGGACCCAGGAATCAGGGAGTTGAGGTGATTGGCTATTAGGGAACTTCAGGGATAACTGAGGCTCTTGGAAGAGCAGTGATTAATTTGGCACATACCAGGCTAATACCAGGGGACATGCTGACTATAGAGCTAGGAAATGAATTCAATTTTTCAGAGCCTTTAACTCAGCCTTAGGTCTAAGGGACTAAATTAGGTTCCAGCAAGGGGCAGAAACCTATAGCTACCTTCCCTCAGTCCTCTATATGCCAGTTTCCCCAGCTGTTACAAGAACCTTCTCCATAGTCCTTACAAATGTATGGGCAATTATAGGTTCCCAGAAAAGGCAAAGGATCTGAAATTCACAGCCCACTCCCTCTTCTCTTTTCTCCAGTGTCCCCTCACACTGCAGCCACCAATGGAGGCTACTCCCGAAAGAACGATGGTGGCTTCTTCTCCACCTAGTGTTGACAGGCCCCCGGACTAATTAATCATAGTGGAACATCTGCCGCCCACCTCCATTAAATAGATTTGTGCAAGATGAAGCCTGAAGTGTCTGTTACCCATGGACTACGAGTTGCCACTTGACTACTCTTAAAATATGGGAGGGAAATTTTCTAACTTCTAGAAACCAGTCCTGTTGGGCATATTTGCAACTTGGAAAGTCATCTTGCTGAAAAGATAAGGATTTAGGACAGAACAGCACTGTTTTTGGCAGGAGACAGGTATTCATATTTTGTGAACTGGAGTCATTTCAACCATACAGATACATCCGTTCAACATTTCTTGCAAACCTTTATGTCAGGCACTGAGCTAAGTGTTGGGGAAACAAGAATGGACACAGCCCAGGCTCTTCATGAGCTTACAAACACTGTAATTTTGGTAGCTCTATGTAGCATTATTTATGCTGAGGTCACACAACAGATTTCAGACCTCCTGGACTTAGTCATCTGGTGGGCTTTACTTTTCCATGAGGGCTCCATCTCCCTGGTCCTGGCTCCTTGCCCTTGTTCATTCTCTAACTCTGCTAGTCTCCTTGCCTGGGAGTCAATTTGCTTTTTTTTTGTGTCAGTTCTTACAAACATGGCTCAACAATCTGGTACTTGGGTTTGAAACCTAAAAACTGATGCATTAATGTGGTTTCTAAAATTACAAGTCACTCACAGGAACCTGCTGTTGGATTGCACATGAAATGGCAGACCTTTTAGAATACTGTACCGTAAATTCCCATTTCTAAGTTTGAAAAGCATCTGCATCATTAACAATTCAGATATGAAAAGGCTTCTTCCTAGTACTCACGTGCAGAGTCCTTAAATGCCATCAAACTATCACAGCCCCCCTTCCACGGAGATACTCCGATCTATTGATAGTATCTGCTGCCAAGTAGCAATATGAAGTTTCAGTTTTGTTTTGTTTTTTCCCCCAAAGCCCCAGTAGATAGTTGTATGTCATAGCTGCACATCCTTCTAGTTGCTGTCTGTGGGACGCCCTCAGCATGGCCAGAGAAGCTGTGCGTTGGGATCCGAACCAGGCCCGCCAACAGCAGAGCGCCGGCACTTAACCGCTAAGCCACAGCTGGCCCTCAGTTATTATTTAGAGTGGCAGAGAGGGGTGACTATCTGAATAGTCCCTGCATGCAGGTTATTTGATACTGAACACCAAAAAACTTATGACCGTGATCCATGCATCGAGGCTTTTAAAAATGTAGATTCCCAGACCTCCCTGATAATTCTAATTCAGTAAATCTGGGGCGGGTCCCTGGAGTCTGAATTCTTGTAAGCTCTCCAAGTTCTCTTATCGATATATATATACAGACATGCATATACACCTATACCCCTTCGCGGCAGACGCTGTATAGTGCCTTTAGACCAGGGGGCACCAGTGTTGGTACCATACAGACTCTTCGTGACTAGGCGGGGCTAAAGAAAAAGAGGAGGCAGGGAAGAAAAGCTGCAGCGGAAACAAGGCCTCCGTCCCCGTGCAGCTCCTGGTCCCGCGGGCGGAGTGACAGCTCGCGGGACATCATTCACCCTCCGGCCCCCCGCCGACCGTTAACGCATTAGCCCCAACGCCACGGCCGGCCGTGCCCTGGGGCCGGGCTCAGATCAGAATCGCCTCGATAATCAGCGGCCTGGGACAAGCCCGGCCTCGTCTATCTGATCAATTCATCACTTCTGAGCGCCGGGCCCCGTAGCACCGGCTCTGGGACCTCCGGGACCGCGGCGTTGCCGCCGCCCAAGGGGCCTCGCTGCACAGCGCCCCGAGGAAGGGGCTTCGCAGGAGGGGAGCTTTTCATTTCGGGTCGGCCCGGCGGGGCTGGGGTCACAACCCGATCAAATAAGATCAAGGTGTAGGCGGGGGGAAGGGCGCAGGGGCGGGCACACGCGCTCGCCTTGCACGCCCCACGCGCGCACTCACACATTCGCCCGTCCACTCACACACTCGGCCCGTACGCGCCTTCCACGCGACATCACACAACAGCACACACCAGCCTCACCCAGGCCGCTTTCCCTCCTTGAAGGAGCGGAAGTCCGCACCCTCTTTTAAAGCCCTCTGCCCCTCCCCCACCTTGGAGGCTTCTGGGAGGAACCACCGAACACAGGCCCTCGTGGAGTGCTCGCTTTGCTGCCCTCTCGTGGCTCGGAGGGGAAACCAAGTTCCAGGGAAAGGCGGGGCACATTCCCACATTATTGAATCACAGTTGTCTTTTCATCTTTCGGCAGCTACAAATTTATATGCATACCTATAGGTTTTCTTTGATCTTTGATCCAAGTTCTGGATACAAAATGATTCAATCTCAGGAGATTCATGGGTGAATGACTCCTTTCCCATGGAGAAGGCAATCCTGATCATTACCAACATCAGCTTGCCCAGGAGCTCCTTTTCCCAAGGTAGAAGGCAAACATTTTACCAAAGGGAGAGGTGAGAATAGATCATTTAAATCCAAGGACTAGGTAGTCAAGATATCTGTGATATGAGTAAAGGTAGGAAGGCATATCCTTGTCCTCACTTATAGAGCCCTCTTGCTACCCAGAACTTGACGCTGTGGCATTCGTATTGCTGAACCTTCATTTTTCACATCCATTAAAACATATCTGATTTTCAAACTCCAGAATGAGTAGAGTGAAAACAAAGTAGTGATTATATAAGTAGAATTAGTTCCTTCCACATCAGAGAGCACCATTTTAATGTTTTAGTTGCTTCTTTCTGCTTCTTCAGTGAAATAGCTACGTGTGGGCCGCCCCGTGGCTTAGCGGTTAAGCGTGCACGCGCCGCTACTAGCGGCCAGGGTTCGGATCCCGGGCGCGCACCAACGCACCGCTTCTCCGGCCATGCTGAGGCCGCGTCCCACATACAGCAACTAGAAGGATATGCAACTACAACATACAACTATCTACTGGGGCTTTGGGGGAAAAAAAAATAGGTATGTGTAGGGGGAATATAATTTAGAAAAATTTTGGAGATTAGTAGAAAATGATTTGTGAAGCTATAATTTGTACTTGTGCTAGTCCCACCATGCATTTAGAATAAACATATAGGGGAAAAGTATCCATTGTATGTGTTGGAATCCCATTGGCTCAAGCATTTTCTGGTTAACCTGATAACCTCATTTGAATGAAGAAGTTTATGGCTGGTAATGGCAGATGATACTTGTATTTTAACAGCAGTAGTAGGTAAAATGTATTGGGGAGTGTTATCTACCTTATTTAATACACAACAAAATTTATTCATATATGAAAAAATATAAGCTGATATATATATCAGCTCCCCCAAAGGAGAAAGCTATACCCTCACAGATTATGAACTATATCATACATTCAGTGACCATCACAAAAGGTTAACAGGAATGATGGTATTCACTAATGTAAACTAAAACAGTATATGTACTATGGGCAGAACCCAGGGGAGTAGTGAATAAAGTTCAATACATTCAGCATGTGACAAATAAAATGGACAAAAATGGTAGGGAAAGAAATTTTATTTTCAAGGATTTGTGCAGACAATGGTGAATAAAAAATTGTATTTCAACTATAAAAAGCTGACTTCATTCCACCCTGGCATATAGGGGTTTATGGTGATACCAGTTTGAATCAGAAGAAATATTGCTATCCCCATTCTTCTACTCCTAAAAGACTACCTTGGAGGAACAACTTCCTGCAATTTTCAGTCAAAAATATATGACACATCAACCAAAGTAATGAGTTAAACACGTTTCTCCTCATCTGCTTACATCAAGTCAAGAAATGAAATAAGCTGTGTATTTGTTTCTTGCCGTGCCGTAAATTACCTTCACTCTGTGCACTTTTTGGTACATTCTGGTATGAAAACATCTCAAAATATAACAATTCACAAGTTTAAGTTAAGATGACCCACCCAGGAGGCTATAAAAATTGGTTTGAACAACTAGAACTGTGAAATGGAACTAGTGTAAAATATGAAACAGCTCTAAGTACCAAGCTTAGAGACATTAGCCCTATTAGAAAACAAAAGTCATTAAAGCTACAAAATAACAAGTGCAAAACATGCTGAACTTGTATTTCCAGGGAGGGACATTCCCGCTGGCCAACAGGTCCCAAACTCACACCCACAAGCGGAACTCTTCTTTCCCATTCCACTAGATTTCCTTTCTCTCATGTGAAGGATCCTCAGAAATGACAATGGAAAACATATGAATCATTGAAGTTTACCCTGTGGACCAATTCCTGAAGAGATAGCCACAACTCTGAGATGATTAGACAAGTAGTGTTTACCTGGTGACTTTCTATACTTCTAAAAACCCTCAAAGCACTACACTGCATATTTCAGAACCTAAACTTCCTAGCAGCTTTTGTTCTTTTGGAGTAAGACAAAAGACAATTTATTGCCACACGGGTCAACCACAGCTACCTTGTCCACGGTCAAGTTTTTACTTTAATGGACAATTCAACTGGTAGACCTATGTCTATGCTTGCTTTTCACAACAATTTAATTTTAGACCAACTCTTTTTTTTTTAAATAGAGAAGTTCTAGGCTTCATAAATGCAATAGTTGATCCTTCTGCAGATATGAGGAGGAGGGAATGGAGAACTCTTCCCTTCAAATGTTGCGTCATCTAAAATGATTGCTCAGGAGTTACCATACTCCATGGAAAAGCCCACCAATCTCAATTGCAAACCTGCTGCCCTTTACTTTAGAAAACACCATTTTATTCATGGATTCTATGAACTGTCCAAACAGTCCAAAATTTGAATTTCTCATGTTCTTATAATACACAGAATTTCCAAGAGACAGCTAAAGAGTACTGCAATATGAAGAAAATTAAGAGTTGGCCAAGAAAAACAAGTAATTAACTAAAAATTGCCATAATAACCCAGATTTAAACAAAGAATACGTTTGTATCTTGGATAACATGACAAAACTTCCATCTAACATCACAATAAATTCTTATACTAAATGACTTTACTAGTATATGAACATACTAGATTTATTTATTTCTTCTACCCTAACTGCAAATATATTAAACAATTATTTCTTCAATAGTTTCTCTTTCCCATAATGGTGGCATTTAAAACTGAGTAACGGTATATAGCACTCAGTAATTTAGAAAATATAAAAGGCATTAGGAAAATAGCAACAGTGGATTCATTTTCCGTATACCATTTGATGGGGTGAAGTCTCCTTTCGGGGATACTGGTGAATAGAACATATTTTCTGGTCTAAGTTACTGCTCTCTGGTCTCATCACAGACAGATAATCCCCAAACCTTATGTACGCCCAGATTCTCTTGGCAAAACGCTTGAGCTACCAGCACATAGCACAGCTATTTCATCTGTTCTCTTTTTGCAACGGGGACCATGCCAGATGGGTACGTGAAAGATACATTTCCAAAGCCAAAACATTTCTTGGCATATATAACTCCTGTTTCCCACCCAGTCCCTCCCCCAATTTGCCAAATCCAAATCAGAGTGAAAAAAAAGTCAAGTCTTGAAAATTATTTCTCCTTCCACGAGGTTTGAACATAGCCCATATCCTTCCCTAATGAGCTTCAGTTTGAAAAGATCCTGATGAGGAGCTGAAGAACAAAATAGATGACAGGTTTTTAAGCAGGAGGTATGTAATCTTATCACCGAGGGGTGTAATTTATCTGGACATTATATGCTCTCTGCCGAGGACTGATTTACACACAGATCAAAGGAAGTTGCCTTTCTGGAGTCCCCTGAAGCATAAATAATGTTTGTAACCGTGAAGAGTTTTCCCCACATATGGTAGGGGCAGACGCTGTGGTGTCATCCTGGGGACTTGGATGATTTTAGCTGAACTCTCCTACGCTGGGCCCAGGCCCCCGACAGGTTCCTCACCCTTGTCCCCTTGGTTGGCAGTTGGTGAGATGGATGCTTTGGAACTCATTTTATAAACAGGACGTAAAAAGCCATTACAACGCAGGAAATTGCCACAGCAGCATGCAGCCTGGTTCCAATCACAGCGGCTAGTAGACAAAAGTAAAAAGAGAAAAGAAATCACCCCCTGCCCTTTATAGAAGTCCTCATTTTCAAGTTGATATTTTGAAATATCTAGTCACAGATGAAGAGACCTAGCAAGAGTCTCAAGAACCCACTTGACAATGTATTTAAATACTACCCTTAAGCTCTAGGTTTCAAGTCAATATACTGTTTGTTTATATTTTGCCCTATTTTGAAAAAGGACTTAGGTAGGTAGGATTCCAGATGAAGTGTCCCAAATAAAAAGTAAAAAAGCATCTGAGCTAATGAAATCAGACCTTAAAAGAGACTCCAATGTATTCTTTCCAGGACTTCAGAAAAACTTTCCATTGGGAAAATATTCCTCCCAACAATTCCAGTTCAGCCTAAAATTGTTTAATTTATATACTTTTACTCCGTGGAGAATACTAAAATTACCTTGACACTAAAATAAACAATTATGTAAAAGTGGAACCAAGTACAATCCCAGCCTACCCTACCCAACTTTGGTGCAACTTTGTAGCACCAACTGTCCAGAGATGGCAATCTCTTCCCCTCCCTGTCCAGATATGATCTTACCTTTGTAAAACACACCCCAAACTCCCTTCTTCTCTGATAGCAGCCAGGTTTTGAGACGAGGAACTTTCTTGAAGTAGGCACAGGTGCAAACAAAGAGCAAACCAAACACCAGAATCCCATCCAAGGAGTACACTGTTACAGAAAGAAAAGAAAACCTTTGGTGCGAATCTAGCTGGGGACAGGTGATCCCACTTGAGACTTCCAAGGAGAAAAGAGCGTGACTGATATACTATCAAGATGATAACCTCAACTGCAGTATCAACCCTTGGCAAGAGGGAACCAAGGTCCTGAGACTAACAAGGTTACCTTACTGTTCTCCAAAATTGCTTGTAGACATCCCCCTTAGAATAATTTCACTGCCCACTCCTCTCCCCTTTCAAGAACTACAAATCCTGAGAAGAGTGCATCAGTTGATGTGGAATCAGCCTCCTAGGAATGGCTAGTGCTGGCAATAGGTTGAGAAAGGCATAAGAATCCTTGGAGTCTGTGCTGAGAGAATTAAACACATTCTTATCACTCATGTGATAAAGGAGAGCTAGACATTTAGCCACGTCTCAGATCTGCATCTGTTGGTGAAGAATGTGTTAAGGCAAAAAATAAAGCTTAATGGATATTGCAAGAGTTAGAATCCATATGACTATAATTTTTCCTATGCTTATCTTACTCTTTATGCATGATGCTCAGAACCCAAATTTGTGCCAAAATAACAGGAGATTCTTGTTAAAAAAAAAAATTATCTGAGGCTTCAACATAGAATAATTTGGAAAAAAAGCTTTTAATAATTAATTCTATTTCTTATATACGTGCACCAAGCTATTTCATGTGCATGTAAGAGCAATGAATCACATAATTGCAAAAAAAAAGATACTGGACCACAGAAGGGGGAGGGCGACTAAAATTTATTCAGTAATTATTATGTCAGACTGCTCTCTTATTTCCTGGTTCAGATGACTTCTTCTTCTGGGTGATGTCCCTTCTCCTACTATGTGTAGTAATCTCAGACCTCTGACTGCCCAGAAGACTCCAAAACAATATTTTACATAACTAGCATCTGCCAGTTCTGGACCACTTTATCTCCCTCTCTCCCTCCAGTAAAACTATCTCACAGATAGGTGTCACATAAAAAAGGATCCAGCAAATTAATACATACACTAAGTTTTTATGAAGAATGATACCTTTATGTGCTAGTCTTTTTTTTCCTGTAAGTTTTCATAGACAATGCCAAAATTCACAAGGAGGTGAAATTTGAGTCTTCAGTGCCAGGCTTATGGAGAAGGTACTTTTGAGAAATGCTTTCCCGTACCCCTCAAATCATACTGCTTAAGAGGCCTCTTCTTCGTTCCTTTAAGACTGACTCTTAAGACCACAAAGACCCTGCTTCCTGCCCTTCTCTGGAATTCAGAAGTCATGTCTATAAAGTGTTTGAAGAGGCCTGGAAAATTAGGTCAATTAACAGGGAGGCGGCTGCCACATCATTTAGAAGAGGCAGTGTCTAAACCCAACCCTTGCAACACTAGCCAGGGTCTCCAGATGGGATCACCGAGGCAGGACTTGAGAATCAAACAAGAGAAAGCTTCCCAACATTTTATCAAAATAAGAACTTTTTTAGGGTCTACATTCACCCCCCAAAAGTGTGAGCCTTGAGATTGTGATTTCTTGGTTCTCCCTGTCCGAAAGTATGAGAACGTAGTGGGCTGAGAGGAGGATCCTCTCTTTTCCTGGTGCTAAAGCAATATTTCAACCCGTACTGGCCTGCCCCAGAGGCTTGTAAGAGCCAGAACGAACTTCTAGGAAGCGGAGAAGGGAAAGCACAGGGTAGGGGCCGAGGACTCGAGGTGTGGGCATGAGAGGTACTGGGGGTTCTAGATAGGCACGGGACGGGGGAACCCGCGGGGGAGGGGTAGGGAACGGGAGTTAGGGGCACCGAGAGGCGAAGGGAGGCTGGGCTGGGAGGGGGCGGGGAGAACGGCCACGTCAGTCCCAGCCCCGTCCGCCGTTTCCTCTCGTCCTACATTCCCATCCTCCGCTCTGGGCATTGGCTCTCACCGTTCGTCATGGCGGCTGGGCCCGGGCCTGGCTAAGGGGTCTGGGGTCAGCGGTGGTAGCGGCGAAGGCGGGGTAACCAGCTCCCGCTTGACACTTCCCGATCCGACCGCGGCGACGGGCAAGAGCCGTACTACGCAGGCGCAAGGGCAAAGTGGCGAGCGCCGAACGCAATCAGGAGTGGCTAGCAGATTGCCGAGCCAGGATACCTGCGTGGGTGGTGCTTGGGTGCGTAAGTTTGGGCAAGAAAAGCGCTATCCGGAGGCTTCCTGCGTGGCCATGGTAACGAAGTCTCTTCTGGGTGTTCCTGTGGAGTTAGTGCTGGGGCATAACCTGACTTGTTCGCGTCGGTGTGTTTGAAAAGGTTTTGCACTTTATATTGCGCTGTGGCAGCTGGTGTGTGTGTGTTTTGTGTGTTTGTAAGCAGCAGCCCACCTGCAATGGAGAGGTCTGCGTCCCGCGCTTCCACTTAAGAGAACCCGGACAGCAGGGGTCAAGAGGCGGCCCCTGCGACCTGCAGGACTGCTCTTGGTGAGCGGCTCTTTTTTACTCCTTAGGGAAATCGGTATAGTTAGGCTGCTTCTGAACTTGCGAAATGAAGTAAGGAACGTTATAACAAAAACAAGCCTCATATTTCATATGATACAGCTCCACATTGTTGGGAAACATTCAGATAATTACGTTTATTTGTATGGATTTTTCTTTAAACTATCAGAGGAGTGTCGATTATCTCCTGTATTTAGTTAATGCTGGGGTCACCTCGGCCGCTTTAACCAGTAATTGGGATATCTCCACAGCGCTTCTCACGACACTTGCACAACTTGACCAAAGATATCGTCAGTTTAATGGTGGGGTGTGGTGGAGGAGACAAAGCCACAGATTCCATTTTGTACATTGAAATCCTTAATTGCACACAACTCGACCTGCTTTATTAGAGTCCGAGCGAAAGTGCGACTCTGACTCCTCCAAGGCTGAAACTTAAGTTTACTAGGCCGCAGTGGTTGACAAGGTCCTAAAGGGACTCTCTGCCCCTCTTGCTGTAGTGCCATCTGCTGGCTGCAGCCTGGTTGATTACGCAGAAGAAAAGCTACCAAAGCGTCCCTCTAGGAGCTGGAGTGGAGAGGGAAGCCAAAAAAGTCTAATGCAGGACAGATTCCTTGCAAAAATATACATAAATGCAGAAACAAAAAAACAAGTGGAAAATATACGGGGCAAAACCTAAGACAAGGCCAGATATATGCGTGCACATATACGTACAGACAAATCTCCCTGCCCAAAAGAACTGCTCAGGACCACTCAAAACAAAACAAAAATCCCTAATTGTCTTGACCTTTGAACCTTTCATCATTTGTTATCGAAAACAGCATCAGCACTGATATCGTCACTGGCAACTGACTGTTAATTCCCTGCACCAAGGCTGGATTAAGACCCCAAACCATTCTAACCAGGTCCTAAACAAATTCACATTCACTGATTTAGACTGAATCATGTAGCTCATCTTCATCTAAAAAAACCCCTCATCTTTCTTGGACGCTATGGAACTAAGTGCATTATCCTCACTCACCTGCACCTAATTCTCTTTAGCCAGGTTCTTCTGCCTAAATATAGATGTTCCTAAGATACCCATACCCTCTTTTTCTCATTATTAACCTCACTTGGTGACCTGTTCTGTTCATGGCTTCAACTACCACCGCTATGCAGAGTTCTTAAGTTAATGTCCACCCAAGCTCCAGTCCTGCATTTCTAACAGATGTTCTTCTGACATCTGAAATGTTTAAAGCCAAACTCATTCCCCTCTAAAGATTTTTTATTTTTTTTTTCCCCCCAAAGCCCCAGTAGATAGTTGTGTGTCATAGCCGCACATCCTCCTAGTTGCTGTATGTGGGACGCGGCCTCAGCATGGCCGGAGAAGCAGTGCGTCGGTGCGAGCCCGGGATCCGAACCCGGGTCGCCAGCAGTGGAGCGCGCTCACTTAACCACTAAGCCACGGGGCCGGCCCATCATTCCCCTCTGATTTCCCAGTTTCTATGATTAATATTCCTTTTCCCTAATCACTAAATTTAAAATTTGTAAATAATATTTGAGTTAACTCTTGTTTTCAAAATCTCGTTCAAATTGCCTGCTTTTCATTCCTACAGCCATCGCTTTAGTGATTTTACCATTTCAGTCTTCTTTAAGCATCAATTATATCCTCACAACAATGAAACCTTATATTTATATAACATTTTGACATTTTCGAAGAAGCAAACACACCTTGTCATATGATCTTATTTAATCCTCACAACTGCCTTACTATCCCTATTTTAGAGATAAACTGAGGTTTAGGGTAAAGACTGTCCAGTATCACATTCAAACAATAATTCTGGTCTTCTGAACTCAGGACTAGAAAATTTTGCTCCCAACCACAACTGCTGTTTCCTTTAACAGCAACCACTGCCTGCTGAATATATGTCTGTCTCCTTAGCCTGCTATTCAAGGCTTTCCAGCAGCCTTTTCCACTGTTCCCCTATGTGGACTTGAAGCTTCAGCTGTGAAAAGACTATTCTATGTTCTTCAAATGTACTCTTTGCTTTCACATTTTTGTTCATGCCATTTACTCTTTTGGAGAAACTTTATCTCCTCGTTTTGTACTAGATGGAAACTACTCCAATTTTTGTCATGCTCTGAAAGATAAGTCTTTCCTCCCCTGTCACCCTCCGAGTTTAAGAATAAAGTTTAAGGACAAAGAAATCACAGTTGAAGAGCTGGGAAGAGCAATTACTTGGCTAATTATGATTTCAAAGGACAGTGATAGACCACAATTTCTTACTCTGATTAAGCCGTTATTTTGAGCTCTGCTCAGAATTTACCGTTTTCTGTTTCTTCTTTTTCCATATGTCTGTCTCTTTTTTTATTCTTCCTACTCTTTCTTCCCTCTCTTACATTTATTTCCTTCCTTCTTTCTCCCTCTGCCATATTTTTTCTTTTCCAGGTTTTATAAAGTATTTTACCTTTATTATTGAATAAAGTGAATCTCACCAGATTTTTATTTCAAAATTATACCAAGAATTTTATATTTAAAAAAATTATATTCTGTTTTCGTCTGTAAAATTGGGTTGTAATGATTGCTCCTTTCTATGGTTGTTGAAAGATTAAATGAATTACTATTTACAACAATACCTGGAATGAAGTAGGTGCTCCGTAAATGTTAGCTATTACTGTTGTTGTTCATTTGTTTAAAAAATATTTACCAATGTCTACTATGTGTTGGGCGCTTTGCTAGATTTTGCAGGAATAAAGGCAAAAATGAGTCCCTGCCCTCAGGGAACAGCTATATTGGGGAAGATAGATCAATAAACACATTTTAGTAGAGCACAGGCATTGCGTATGTAAAGACATTATCTTTGATCTTCACAACTGTTTTGCAGAATAGCTTTTCAATGAGAAATCTGAGGCTGAGAGAAGACACATGGGTGAGATCACATAGCTAGTTAGGATCCAAACCCAGGTCTGTCTGACTTCAAAACTCCCTTCCCCTTGTTATCATACTGCCTCAAATTAGGATGCTGTCCACTGATACTGATGTTTGATGTTTATTCCGAACATTACTGTTTTTGTTGCCCTGAAAAGCCCCACAGCCTCACATCAGGCCAAATCCTGGGTCATTGGCTGGTGGGAGATCAAGATTTGGCCACCCTGAAATATATCTGTTTACCTTGATTGTTTTCTCTGACGGACATTTGACCTCCCCCACTAACTGCCTAAAGAATTTGACATGGTGGCTCCTTCCTGGAACAGATCTTCCATCTGATGGCTGTAATATAATGTAAAATAGATGTTACAATAGGAAAGGCACCAACAAGCCCATCTTATCAGAAATTCTGTCTCTCTGGCCACATTCTCTGGATGGCCCTTCGAGGAGTTGCCAGACAAACATTTACATTTATAAGGGAAATCTCCATTTGTAAAGGTATCTCCCTCTCTGTCTTGGGAAGAGGGGGGATGACCTCATTTCTAGAAACTTATCAATGTGGAAGGTGAGGTCTTAAATCTGCATAATAACCTTACCCTTGTTTACAGTGCTTTAGTGGTAATCTCCTGTAACTGACACCCCCCACCCCCAACATCCTCCGTTGTCTTTAGAAGAAGATGGTATTTAAGATGAGAATTTCTGCTATTGTGTTGAGAAACACAGTGTCCCTGCTTTCTCCCCTGTATACATGTTATTAAACTTGGTATTATTTTCTCCTGCTAACCTGTCTTGTCAATTATTTGGCCAGCCATAAGAACCTTAAGGGAAGGGGCAGAGGGGCATTCTCCCTCTTCCCCCAACAGGCTCTTGCAGCCCAACTGCAAGGAATAATAAATAGAGCCCCACTGGCAGGGGCCTCAGTTCAGACAGTCCTCCCTCAGTTCATTTCAGCCTCCATTGGAGGACGAGTAGTTGTTGCCAAACGTCTGTCAGTCAAGAACAGTGGCCTGTTTGTTAGGGTTGTTGCAGTCCCTGTGCGAACACTAATCAGTCATGGGGACCATGATGATGGCATTCTGGTTTAACCAAAGAGTAAGTTCAGTCCCAAAGGCACAGCTTGCAACAATAGCTTCATTTGAATTACAACGTATTTGAAAAGAGATGTCAAACAGGCATTAGTTTATGCTACAGATATTTGTTCTGGGACTTCTAAGGAATGTGCTGGCCTCTGGGAGCTCAAAGACGAATGAGAAACAGACTCTGTTCTTAATAAGTTTAAGATTTAGTAGACAAGATAGGCTCTGTGTATAAGTAACCAGAAAATACAGTAGAAAGTGAGAAGCGTGGAAGGAAAATGAAAACTAAGTGCTGTGAGAGGGTAAAGAAGAAAGTGCTTTCAGCTCAGGAGAGCCCACGGAAGGCTTTATGGATGAGGAGCAGACCTTTTAGCTGGGCCTGAAAGGCATGTAGCATTTCAATAGAAAGGAAAGGTATTCTAGCGGTAAAGGACTAGAGTGATCAAAATCATAGAGATGGCAAAGTACAAGATAAGTTTGGTGCACAGCACACTCTTCCCTTCCTCCTTCACTGGCTAACTCTTCACTCTCAGATCTCAGCTCAAACCTCACTTGCTCAAGGGAGGCTTCTCTGACCTTCTTGGGTCCCCTTCCCCCATTATAAGCTTCCAGAGCATACAGTATCATTTTATCCCCAGTCCCATAGCAAGTGCTGAACATTTTACAGGTGCTTAATAAATATTTGTTGT